GGTGACCCATAGATGATGTCACAATGGATAAAGTATTGGTGACCCATAGATGATGTCACAATGGATAAAGTATTGGTGACCCATACATGATACCAGAACGGATAAGGTGTTGTTCTTGTTTTTTTCTTTGCAGAATACGTCATGAACTGTGTGAAGAAGAAAAAACACATTTAGTACATACCGCAAGAACCCACAGTTATGCACATCACAAGAACACCAATGTGTGAGGAAAAAAATGGAATTGCAGTGCATTGTGGGACTATTCTTCGAAAACAGTCCCACAATCACCTGCCATTCCTTCTCTATACCCAGTTTTTTCCCTCAACCTCAGAATGGCTAATGTGAACTGAGCTAACATTAGATGGGAGAACCTACATAGCAAGCAGTTGTTGCAGTACATTTATAAATACGATGTATACTGTAACTCGTTGGAAACATCTAGACATAGTTGTTATTAACTCTGATCTAGGTAAGCCAAAATACAAAGAACAGTCTAAAAAAGAAACAACAAATTAAACTAAACAAATTAATCATTTTAAAGTATCTTTACATTTCTTTGGAATATTTAACATTCTTTCAGATTAATATTTTACTGAAAATGGTTTTCTTCTTAGCTTGAGTAGCAATAAGTACTCAAAGATAAGTATTTACATTGGAGTAAAGTAGAGTCTTAAGTTCCATCTGGTTTTGCACCGCGCACCTTTTAACTAACGCCACTGGCTAATATGCACCAAATTGAAAATCCTTCAGCTAATTTATTTTGTAATTTTTAAGAGCTTCGTCGCCTTTAATCACTCATGGTCAATTTCTATAAAATACTAAACGAGAGAGAGCGGTGGAAAAAATTTAAACATTTTAATCTGGGTATAGTATGGTATTTTCTCATTATATGTTGCTCGAAAATAACGGAAGTAGTGCTCCACAGGGCCCAATCAGTATACTAAGGTATAAGAAATTCTTCATCAAAATCATCTTCACAAGAACATGAAAACCTATTTTTTCCGTTTGCTTTAGAAGCGGGTTTAAGTTGCCAAAAACGTCATAGTGAAACAACTTATTCTTGAACTAAAGAAATAGTTTACCGACTTATTTAAGGCAAGAGAATATATTCTCTTGATTTAAGGGTATTTGGGCTCGGCCATGAAGGCAGAAGCACTCAATGTATCGAATAATCTAGTAAGCCAAACCGCCAAGCCGAATTTTTTAATACACTTTCACTGTCAAACAATATTTATTCATATGGAGATAAGATAAAGTTTTTAGACCAAAACCAATACTGAACACTTAATGAAAGATTTCTGGTTCGTGTGTATCAATCAATTACTCTCACACTGTCACATTTCATTAAATCATCCAGGATCTCAAATTCATGATGATCATTATTTTTTTTCGACGGAATTCGAAATGCATGGATAGTCTTCTTTACGGGGGAAAATTGTTCCTCATATAAGTTTTATGCTGGAGATGCAACGTATTTCAGCTGACGTACAACATATTGACGTATACGATTCGTGCTTGTTCAAAATTATATAATTGTATTAGAACGAGCTACTCAAGTGGAAAATAATCATAGTCCATCCACAATGTTCCACGCGGTTTTAGTCATCTATGTTCTGATATAATCATCAACGATGACGGAACGTATGAGAAATGCAAGTTTCAAAGAGAAATTGGTATTCAAGCTAGTTCAGGTTTATATATTATTTAGTATAGCATGTGTTATTTAGGCGAGAAACGGTTCTAAGATTAATCCACAAAGTATTGAGTCTACGTTAGTCGCGTGCGTCCAATACAACCTTCAACGATATGATATGATATATGCTATATTTAAAAAAACGATATTGAAGTTTTAAGGTTTATGAAAGTATTAGTATTGAATACTCGAGTCGAGTGAAAAATAGTTCTAGTCGATCCGAGTTCTAAGTCATACTGATCTACATATTCGTTTTTAGTCATCAATCAAATGCAATCATCAACGATGTTGTAACCTATATATGAAAAACATGCTATAGTTTTTAATAAAAATATTCTTGAAAAGGAACGGAACCATTTTTGGACTCAGTACTGTTTAAAAAACAAGCGGAAAAAGAGATTTCAATAACGCGGGAAGTAAAAACGCGGGGGAGCCGGAAAAAATTTTTAACGGAAGAATGGGCGTGTTTTAACAGTTTAGAAAATAGCTTCTTAAGTTATATTCGTCGTTAGATAAAAAAAATTGCGAACGATATTTTAAGATACATAGAAAAGGGAGTTCAGCTATACTAACGAAAGTCTCTGTCATGCGAAATATTTGCATTGTCAACAACTGAACGCCTATGGTGAACTTAATGTCATAAGCGAAAAAGATGATTCAATCAGCTACGTATAGGAAAGCAAGCGTTTTGGCTGTACACTCGGCAAAAATTATGACTAACAAACAAAATATTTCATGTGTATTTTCACTAATTGATATTTTTCCCTATCTCGTTGTATCGCCAAGAGTGTTTGGTGGGCAGCCTAGTTACCAAACAGTCTCTATTTTTCGTTTTGTAGGTCAGTTAATTAAGAAGATCAAAGACTATTCGAAGGATAAAATGGTGATGCTTAATAATTAATAGCCAACTGGCTGTTCTACAATGCAAATGTACAAATAGCTTCGCACAACGCCTCCATTACTTAAAATAAATCTTTTGGTCGTTTCGGATCTTCTTTAAGTTAGACCACGGCAGTCTTAAGGAATTTAGTAAGAAGGAATCCAGAATCAATTTAATAGAAGCAAATGAAGATACTATCGCGGAAACAACGTTTAGAGAATAAAGAGGGATAAAAGTATCTTGAAGTACAGAGTTTAGCACCAGCAGGTGCAAATTATTTTATTTTATCGCTTTTTTCAAGTGAAACACATCATTGGTCAGAATCTTTTCCTGAAGAGTCGTAATTGGTTGGTAAACCAACAACTCGTTAATTTTGGGATAAATATATTACCCATTCTCATAGAGAACAAAGCTTCCCGTCGCACCTACACAAACAAGTAGAACGGACACTTTACTTGGTGTTCTGACCATCTCTTCCTGTTTACCAAACCGACTAGCGTAGCTCTATACTCAAGTCCTGAACTACAAGCACCCATGTCACTTTGAAGTACTAGGTGGGTCACATATGACAAGAAAGAGTTTAAAGTCAAGTAATTGAAAGTATTCAATAACTACATTTACTCCACGAAAAACTTATTACACATGTTATGACCTGACTGACGGTGGTATCAACCGTGATTTTGTCCTGAAGAAAATGGAAGACAAAGAGCCTCTGCTTTCCAAAAGTAAAAGCTTTGAAGATGAAGAGGAAGACCAAGTTGTAAAGACACATTCATTTCAGACTTTTTTCAATATATTTAACGCCAATATGGGTACAGGAATCCTTGCTATGCCATACGTAATACGTCTCACAGGATACTGGGGCGTTATAATGATCATCTTGATTGGAATTCTCGGAAACTACACTGGCAAAATCCTCATAAAATGCCTTCACGAGAATACCCCCGAAGGATGCTTCGAAAAGCGTAGCTATGCTGATTTAGGAGAAGCGTTTTGGCCACGATATGGGAAGCAGATGGTACACATAGTGAATTTCGTTGAACAATTCTCCCATTGCATCTTGTTTCTTATCATGTGTGGCACGGTGATGCATCACACATTCCCGGATAGTGGGATTTCTGAGAGTGTTTGGATAACTCTTATTTCTCTTGCTGTTCTCCCAGTTGCTTATGTGCGCACCATGAGACACATCTCATACATCAGTCTCTTGACTGTGATCGTTGCCATGGGGTCCTCTACATGTGTGCTTGGCTACAGCCTGTACCACCACAAGCAATGGCAAGCCCACAACTTCCCAGCATTCAATTTCAGGCATATTTGCATTGCAATGGGAATCATTACAGTCACATACTCCTCGACTGCCTATCTTCCAGCAATCGAAACGTCCATGCGATACCCGGCTGAATTTAACGCAATGATGAATTTCACCTATACCCTGGTTACTATAATCAAGTACAACTATGGAATTCTGGTTTTCTTTTGCTTCGGGAAGCACACAGAACAGATCATGACACTCAGCCTTCCGCACAGTCCGTTCCGTGTTTTTCTTTCCATCGCTGTCATTACCACCGCTCTCCTCTTCTATGTGGTACCGATGTTCACCCTCTACCATATCTTCGAGAACGAGCTCGATATACCGTTGCTGAGAAAACTAGGCAATGAGCCTCTAAAATGCTGCAAGGTTTGCACCCCCAAGCTTGTATCCAGGGTTGTCATCATAATTGCCTCAATAATCGTCGCTATATTTGTGCCTCATTTTGGTCTTCTGATGTCTTTCGTGGGTGGACTAACAGGAACATGTCTAGTGTATGTCTTCCCGTGTATTTTTCATATAAAACTCCATCACAAGACACTTCCATGGTATCACATTATGCTCGATACATGTATAATCCTGATCGGAATATTCGGATGTGCTTGTGGAGTGGCGTACTCTGCTATACAAATCGCCAAAGAATATGACTTCTATAAAATGTGGGGAATAGAACCTGATACAGATTAACAATTGGAATAGGTATTGTTCCTAGATTCATTATGACACTGGGTAATTATGACACTGTAAATAGGTGTAGAGGGATTATCAAGGGCGGTTAAGATATTGGTATTTTTATGTTTCCTTTGGTGAATATTGAAAACCATTCCAGGTGGTATTCTGTCAATTTTAGGTTTCTACTCCTGACAAAGCAAAACATTTTTATTTAGTTAATCGGATGTTCAGAGTCTATTTTGCTAGCCGGCACATAAAGAATTACTTAAGGGGAGTACTTAAGATGAGTTCTTCATGTTGGATGTACAATTGAGCTACGCTCTAGTTTATATTTAGACTTCTGTGAAGACCGTCTGTGAAGTGTATTTATAAAGTCCTTTGACAACAACCAATTGAACGTTAGAGCAAATTGGGTCAGTAATGCGTTATTTGCATAACTTAACAATTTATTATACTTGTTGGTCGGCAAGTATAATGCTTCTACTAAAAGGTGAAAAGATCGATGGCATAAGAAAGATGAATCGTAAGCTCTCTGTAAACGAAGGTTTCTCTGAATTGTTTAAAATGAAGGAACAACGTCAAAGAAAGGTTATTGTAACACGTTTTTTGTCTTAGCTGTTTAGTGAAGTAATTCATCGCATTTATGAAGGTATTTCCGCAGGCGTTGTGGCTGCAGGTGCAAAGGCTCGAAGAAGTCTTCGCTAATTCTATAGAAGAAATTATGATGCTACTTATAATAACATCCAAGCTAAGGGTAGCGATCGCATGACAATGAACAACTAATCCGATGAATTATATCAAGCTTCACTCGGCTTTATAACCTGGATTATTCATTCCATTTTAAAGGGGGGAAATAATAAAGCAGATTGTGAAAAACTCAGTGAAAGTTTCATAATTGGTTATTACAGTTGTCTTAAAGTGGTAGACAATAAGGGGAATTTAGGGTCTTTCATGAAGATTTTAATCAATTTACTAATAAAATAAGTGTAAACAAAAAGAGTTACAACCTATGGGTTTATTAGAATGCAAGCCGACAAACCAAAAAATACCAAAGCCGGTAAAAAAATATTTAAAAAAAGTTTTTGTTGTGATCATCTAACACTGCTCATTTTAAAGATTCTTAGCTGCTTATTTTAAACATAGTTGGTAGAGGGAGATAGTCCATAGATAGTCCCCTCTATTCACTATGTTTTAAATAAGGATATAAGAAAAGCTAGCTAGAAACTGATCATCTAAATTCGAACTTCACAATACTATAAGAAAAAGTCCAGCTTCAAATTTTCTTCTCCCGTGAATTAAAATTCGTGGAAATCCTCACAAATATCGAAAAATCAAATTTTATATGAAGACTAAAATCGAATCGGTTAAGAAAGAAAACTATTTTCAAAAAAACTTTTTTTTATTTAGAATTTTAAGTCATTTAATATTGAAATGGCTACCACAACTGCAGTGGTTGGGTGACTTGTCTATGCAAAAGAACGAAAATTTTCTCTTTGATCATGAAGTGGTGATTTATTTTTCTATTTGTAAATGTCTTATTGCAAATATGATCTAAGTGTAGATAACGTATTTTAAGCCGTCATCCTCAATTAGACATATGGAAAATAGTTTGAAATTCGGAAAACGTGCGACCTCAAAATGAAAGTCCTCATTTAATCACGGACCGCCAGGCTCTCGTTAAAGAAAGTCTTTGGTCGTCGACTTTAAAACACATAGGTTCGTTAGACGACGATATCGTAAATCATAGGCGTCCACTTTTACCTCACTCCAGCAAGCCCTAGTTGTTGTTATAAATTTTACCGGACAAGGTCTTTATTAAGAAGTTCACTCACTATGATGTGCATCCTATCTTCCTATTTATCTTTACCTCAACTTGGGCATTGCCCTGACCGCTCAATTATATATTATCTGTGTTATCTCAGACTTTCAAGATTGGCGAGAGACAGCAAGACAACGGCATCAAAATGTCCTCTTTTCGATAAGAAGGCCATATTTGAATTACCACAGCTATGCACAACTCGATCTTTTTTCTTTACTTTAGTTCGAATTAATTTTTCGATACATACGCGACGTTGATCGCTTTAAAAAAGTACGGGAAACAACTGATCATTTTTAGTAATTTAGGCTGCGTTCATAATGTATG